TGAATATAAAAACAATGCAAAATATTTCAGGACGACATGATTGTCTTAAAAAAAAACAATACTGAAAAATAAATATAACTGATAATATAAATGAAAAACAAGACTTCGCTTACAAGACTATATCAATTTGAAAAAGCAGGAAGAAAGGAAAATAGATGATCAGAGATGGGGATGATTTTATTTCTACATTTATTTCTTTATTGGAAGTCTATTACCTCCTAATTTCAAGTCGAGCTTTGATCTATCTATACCTATCAGTAGGAGAGAAAAAAAGAGGAGAATGAAATGTCGGTTGCATTTTAATGAAACAAAACGCAAATCTATGGACATCTTAAATGTTACCATTATGAAAACATCTTATATTTTTGCTACGCACCCAATGAGATCTGTGATTGTTGTGGAACCAAAGAGATGTGTGATGATTCCTGTTTAGTCAAGAATATGTGTGATGATTCCTGTTTAGTCAAGAATATGTGTGATGATTCCTGTTTAGTCAAGAATATGTGTGATGATTCCTGTTTAGTCAAGAATATGTGTGATAATTCCTGTGCACCCAAATAGATGTGTGATGATTCTTATGTAGAGCCAATTTTCAGCTCTTTCAAGGATTCTATGTCAGTTATTTAGGATAATGTGGATTACAAACTACATATATCTGAAGTATGAAAGAAAATATAATTGCTAAGGAAGGGTTGAATTATTTAAAGCATATTTGTTGTATAGTGAGCTCAGCCCGTGCGCGACACACGTGATCCTAGCAGTTATAAGTATTGCACAGCGGTCCAGTTAATGTTTCACTCCAAAGTTTCGTGTTTTGCACAGGTGTGAAGATCTAAATTAGATCTCAGTAGGATCACGTGTTCTTTGAAGTGCATTTCGGGAATGGTTATGTTGACTTAAATCAGCTTTATTTAGGTCGTATTAGATGCTCTTAACGCTCACTCAGCAGGGTTAGAATGCAAAACTTTGCATAAAGAGTGAATGTCCGGCTCTTCATGGCAAAACTTTTTTTTTAAAAATGTTTGAGATGAAACTTTTTAAAAAGGTTCGGCCTGTCAGATTTTCTTGAAATCTTGTACAGAGAAAGTGAAAATCAGGTATTTAAATTTATATTTGAAGTAATTTGTGTGAATGATTGTTTATTAGAATGGACTCTTTATCGAATCACGGCCATATTGTAAGCATTTTTGCTAGTTAACAATCTGGATTTAAAAGGGTGCGGCATAATTCTGACTTAATACTATAAGACCATAAGACAGACAATACAGAAGTTTCTTTCGCAAGAGTTGTTAAACATCCCTGTGTTGGACAGTTTTCACTGCAAACATTAAACATCACTTGAGAAGAATTACTATTAAAAAAAGAATTTAATTTAAGATCCATTTTAAAGCAATCAGTCTTAAAGGCATCTGAAAGCATTTGTGGGAAGCTGTTTTTTCCCTAACATGTCCAGATTTGTGGATTTCTTGTGTGTAGCTTTGCATTTGATATTTTTCCATAACCAAGAAATTACCATCTTTACAAATGGTGTAGCTGATTATTAAAAAATAGAATATTAGTATAAAAAACTAAGTTACCAATTAATCAATTATGGTTTTGAAAAAAAAACAAACAAAAAAAACCCAACATTTTGTTTTAAATAAACGATTTAAGTTTTCATCAGAATTATGCAATGTTTTGAAACCTGAAATGAAACCCTTTCTCTGCATTGCTACCCAATACTATTATAAGATTCATGATATAACGTGTTTAGACTCGCAGTATTATTGTCCGTTCAAGCACAGTCTCAAGGAATCAGATTTTTGTAAGATTACCCATGACCGTGATACTTAAGTGAATTAAAGAATATATAGAAACGTTTCTAAGTATGTGGTAACGACATCCTCATTTCGAAATGTAGGATATATATCGCATCTACTAAAATCTATGGGTAATTGGTTCTAATGATCAAATAATCGATTTTTGTATTCTTGAACAGTTAAACACAAGTTTTGATATGAGTTTTAAAGCATCTTGTAAAACTTGTTTGTGCCAAAAACGACTTGCCCATAGCTAAATAGATGAAAATGCAGATTTGTTGATGTCTCTATTGTCATTTAGAAGTCAGTTTCGATTAGTTAATTGGATCTTTTGCACATATTATATGGGATAGTAAGTACACCACATTGTATTAATAGATAAAAGTGTCATTAATTTCCTGTCAATAAGTACCCGACTCTTATCGATCTCTTTTGTTAAATATTTGCATGATTAAAATATTTTTTTATCAATTTTTATATTCGTAACTTGACAACTTTTGTTAAGGCTTGTAGTAATATGATTGGAAAATACTTTCGACTCCCACAGTTATTTACAGTGAATAAATACATCAATGGCGGGGAATATAAAGGCTTTGAATGCTCATATAATAGAAACGAAAATGGCAACTATATGCATTATTGACCTACATCCACATAAACTTAAAATCTTAAGACATACTTAGTAACAAAGAAATAGCATCTCCGTCTAGTAGTAGTAGTAGCAGCAGCAGCAGCAGTAGTAGTAGTAGTAGTAGTAGTAGTAGTAATAACATATTTATTTCTTTTGTCGCAGCTTTTTTTACCTGATAAAATGACGACGTCCTAGAGATATATATATATATATATATATATATATATATATATATATATATATATATATATATATATATATATATATATATATATATATATATATATATATATATTAGGAGTAAATAAAAAAGTAATTAATTATGTGTTCACGTGGTCTAAGAAGAAATGAACAGCATTTCTTTATGAAACCGAGTCCTTCGCAACTACGAAGATCTCACATTTACTATTAACCGTTCGGGGAATTTTGTTTTTCCTGTTCAAACCTAAACGGCTTACAGTTTATTTGATGCGAAACTGGCGTTTGCTTTTCGTGATACGACGATTAATCTGAAAAATTCCTATTGGCCACCTAATGAATTTGGACAAACATCTATCGGTAATCTACAAAACTCCTATTGAACTGCTAATGAACTTTGATAAACATGTGTTGAGAATCTGCAAAACTCCTATTGACCAGCTTTTGAACTTTGACAACATGTATCGGTAATCTGCAAAACTTATTTTGATTAAATATTGAACTTTGACAACATGTATCGGTAATCTGCGAAACTCATTTTTACTAAATACTGAACTTTGACAACATGTATCGGTAATCTGCAAAACTTTTTTTGACTAAATATTGAACTTTGACAACATGTATCGGTAATCTGCAAAACTTATTTTGGCTAAATATTGAACTTTTGTCCAACATTTATCGGTAATCTGCAAATTTTATATTAAATAAATATTGAACTTTGTCAAACATGTATCGGTAACCTGCAAGAAAGCTTCAAAACAAAAACTATAATGTAAGGAAGTAGGTTTGACATTAATGGACCTTATTTGTTAGAAAAGTCATGTACTATAATGCATTTTGACAAGCTACATTTGAATTCGTGGTCCATGTTATGGCATTTAGGTCACCAGTACTGATATAGTGGAAAAGGATCCATTTCAGAGCATTCAGATCTACATATCACAGAACTAATAATAAATATGAGATTGCATTTCAGAGCATTCGTATCTTAATAGCAAGGAACCAATAGTAAATATAGGAATCCATGTCAGAGCATTCATGTCTTGATAGCAAGAAACCAATAGTAAATATGGGACTCCATTTCAGTGCATTCATGTCTTGATAGCAAGGAACCAATAGTAAATATGGGACTCCATTTCAGAGCATTCGTATAGCAAGAAACCAATAGTAAATATGGAATTCCATTTCAGAGCATTCATGTCTTGATAGCAAGGAACCAATAGTAAATATGGGACTCCATGTCAGAGCATTCATGTCTTGATAGCAAGGAACCAATAGTAAATATGGGACTCCATTTCAAAGCATTCATGTCTTGATAGCAATTAACCAATAGCAATAGTGAAATGGCATTAGCGCCCCCTCCCCCATCACGTTACATACCCTATATTCTAAAACAAATGACTCCAAAAAATTATTTTAGGTTTGTAAATATATTAAAAATATAAAGATCCAAAACAGTTCGATATGGTTAAAACATGTCTTATGAACTAACATCCAAACAACGCTAATCAGCTATTTTTCAGTGGTATAAAGAAATGTAAATTAAAATGTCATTAAAATGTCATGCAAATTGGAAATGTGGAAATGTCTTTAAAATTAAGCCTTATCTTATGCTTGGCAAATATTTTTATAGAAATGGCTGAACATTATTAGCTCTTCAGCATGTGTTGCTAAATTCATTCAGCCTGTATTATTCAGAGTTCGCTTTATCTACCTGCCTGTATTATTCAGAGTTCACTTTATCTACCTGCCTGTATTATTCAGAGTTCGCTTTATCTACCTGCCTGTATTATTCAGAGTTCGCTTTATCTACTTGCTTTATATTCAATTCGTTTTACTACTTTCTTTTATCAATCCGAGTTCAATTACCTACCTGATTTTATTATACAGATAGTTTCACAACTTGTTTATATTATTCAGAGTTCGTCTTACTACTTGTTTTTCTTATTCTAAGTTCTTTATTATCATATGTATCTGTTATGTACAAATGCACAAGCATACAGGCTGGAAGTTAAGTAAGTTAGATGGAGCACCACCCCTCCAATAAATAGTGCATCTGTATATCCATATTATCGATGTATGCATATATGTATTTTGTTAAATCTTGTGCAGTTATGTTATTGTATGTTTTACGGTTGTTATTATTGTTTATATGTTTGTAATGTATCTATGAATGAGTATGTGCGTGTGTGTGATTTGGATTTTTAACGTAGCTTTAACAACTTTTCAGTTATATCGCTATGATATCTGCAGAGTGACAGCTTTTATTGATGTCTATCAATGGGGCATCACATTATCATGACACAAGGCCGATTCGTCTTAGCACTAACCTCTTAATGCTGAGCGCTATTTTTTTTTATAAGTCTTTAATAAGCCTCGGTTGGGTTTCGAACCCGCAACCCTCCGCATCTGAGGCGGACGCTCTCACCACTAAGCAACCGGAGAGGTTCGTCTACGAATGTACGCTGTTAGGTAATGTACAAATATATGTTAATGTATGCCTAACTCTATTTATTGCATCTATGTTTCTAATTTATCTATGTACACATTTAAATCATGTACAGTTAGTGTATACGCTAATGTAATTGTTGCATCCATTTTTGTAAAATGTTTATGTATGTAAACTGTTACTCACTCATCCTTTGTCATGCCTGAGATAGCACTTAAGTCTTCAACGAAAGAGCATAACTGCTGATAGTCTGCAGCCCTGCGTACGAAGGTGTTCGTTCATCTCTTTCTCTAAAGTCTTCCTCCAAATCTCTGGGCTGACCCCTCTTTCGTCTATCATTTGAAGCTCAACGAAGGTGCTAGCCTGGGAAGTGCATCCAGTGACTTTCATCATACACGCTCCAGCCATCGCCATATTCTATGCTTTGTTTCCACAATTCGGGCAAGATATGTTGATTCTGTTTTTTCATTTAAAAACTTCATTTATTAGATTTGGTCAGAAGAGGCAAAGGATTTTCGTATGACGCTTGATTATTGGAAGATTTCAAGCTTTTTTTACTATATCCGATGTTAGTTTTCAGCATTCCAAGCCGTACAATAGCATTATTTGGTCCTAGTTGTTTGGACTGTCATATGTTATTCGGCATAATGAAGGCTTCATTTAATGTGTTAATTCTGGTTGCTTGCTCTCTCTCTCTCTCTCTCTCTCTCTCTCTCTCTCTCTCTCTCTCTCTCTCTCTCTCTCTCTCTCTCTCTCTCTCTCTCTCTCTCTCTCTCTCTCTCTCTCTTCCATTAAGTGGACTCTTTGCTTCCATCTTATGTAAATTCCAATGTATCCTCTATTTCACTATTAATCATAGTGATGGGATCGTTGGTTTATGGTTCTTTCTCACTGAGTTGTTTTTTTTTGTTGTTGTTTTGTTTTTGTTTTTGTTTTTGTTTTTCACTTTAATCTTATTTTTATTGCTGTGTCGCTGAGTTCATATAATTTTTCTTGAATATCTGTATGCCTGCTTGAAAACAATCCAATTTCATCGACGTAGTTGATGTTTTCAAGAGACGAAGTGAAGGTCCACCTAATCCCTTTTTTGCCCCCAAGAACTGTCTCTTTCATCTGCCAATCTATGGCAAGGGCGAAGGAAAAGGTCTAAGGATGCCACCTTGTTTCACGCCTTTGTTGATGCTGAAGAAGCCCGTGAAATGTTTATTGCAGATGACTTTACACTTGAAGCCTTGGTTCAGAAGTTTGATCATATTTGCAATTCTAGTGTGATACCATTGAACTGGGGTATTTTCCAGAGAGTCATGGTGAGAGCTGTTTAAACTTTTTAAAAATCTATAAAGATGATGTAGATTGGTTCTGTTCCATTCATTTATCTGCTCAAAAATATGCTGAAGTGTGAAAATCTGGTAATTCAGGATATTCCTTTCATGAAATCACCTTGTTCCTTTCTGAGGTCATATTCTGCAATGGTGATCCTCTTGATTCTGTTATAGTCCTTGCTGGTGATGTATGACTTGGCGATGTCTCTCTAATTGGTATAGTACCCAAGATTACACCCTTTTTGGTAACTTGAGGATTAGTCTAGGATTTCTTCTCTCTCATGTATCTTTTTAAATATTTTTTCTGATGGTCTCTGATGTTTTTGTATCTTCTTACTTCGGTATTTCTGGGCAGATGCTATCTTAACCAGGAGCTTCCTCTGACTTCTGTCTCAGAATTATTTTGGTTTCTGGGATTAAGGGTGTAAACGTTGGATCTGGCCTTTGAAGTTTCTATTGAAAGTGTTCCTTTTAGTTTGCCATTTTGCCATATTCTCCCTCTCATCGGATAGGATGCCACAAGCTGCACTCTTCAGAGGTAAGTTTTGACGTGTCCCGAAGTCTCCTTTAGACCTCCTTGCGATATTATACAAAAGTTTTCATGTCGTGTCTCTGTCGATTGTTCTGCTTCTGCTTCAACTTCAGAGGGTCCCAAACACTATCAAATTGTTTGCGTTTCTAATCGAACGTATTTTCTTTAGTAACACGATCGCCATATTTGTAACAGATGCAATGTAGCTCACCGTCTTTGATGATCTCAATAATTTCATAAATTTTTAAGTTACATCTCTTTAAAAGCATGTATTTAAGACTTTCTTCTTTTTCATTCAATTATTTTAATTAGAAAACTAGACATTGCCGATATTGGACACAGCCTATATAGTTTGCACTGAAACATGGACTGTTCTCGAAGCCAGGAAAGGTAATTTTATCTGGGGGGTTTTACGTCGAGAGATTGTTTCGTTTGAAATGGCATTAGGTTAACAATGTTATGGACCTCTGATGATAGTCACGTTAGAAGTTATTAATTGATAAATGAAATGACAAAGTTTTGAACAAAAAAACCTATATCCTTGGTGTTTTTCGTGCTTAAATTTATGGTAGGGGGTACAGAAAAACGGGAGGATGTCCTAATACATTACGAACGCTCATTTATGACTAGCATAGTTGGCGCTCTACAATTTCGTATTTAGCATAGGGTTAGAATTTTAAAGAGAAAGAATTTCCCCGGGTTTCACAACTAGTTATACCAGCTATTTGAAAAAAAAAACTAGTTTGTATATGCTTAGGTATTGTTCATAGAACCTTTAAGTCTCTTTATTTTGGTGTTGATTGATGGGTGTAATCTGGGTTCGAGAGTATACAGCTTGGCCTTACTCCTGATGTGCACCTTTCAAAAAAGTGCAAGCTCTACTTGCTCATTTTCACTTCCCGAACTTCAGAGGTAAATTGTAAAAAAAGAGAACTGATAACTTTATTTATATTTTATATATTTTTTAATTCATTCATTGCACTTTCAGAAACTAGTACTGTCTAGTCTGGCAAAATTAATTTTTTCCTATTTTAATAGCTGCCAAGGATAGCGTATTTTAGACAAATTTAGGTTGATTTTTTGAGCAGAATGGAGCAGTCATTTTAGTAGGCAGTGTGCTAAGATCATTTACAATATCCAAATGTTCAATATCCAAATAAATGTCAGCCACATTACATGAAAGTAGCATAGATGTACGCCAACATTCTTTCCACTGTGCATGTTTTAAAAGCAAACAACTTGACCTTGTAATTCTGACAGACGGTGCAGCTTTCATTTATTGTGCATAAAATATATTCCCAAACAAAGTTGAACTAGTAAAAGAAGATTGTACATTTTTACGAACTATAAATCAAAGAAAAAGCTTCCATCCGAATAAACAGAACATTTTTAACGATAAAATCATATTTTCAAAACAGAATGATCAATGCGATGCGATGGAACATTGTTTGATACGGTATACAGTAGGCCTAGAGTATATATTTATCATGTCACTTTTAGAACTAAACATTACATTGTTGTGATTTTTATGTGAAACAAGGTTACCAGATGAAAAAATTCCCACATTTACTGCGATGCATTTGTGACTGGATATTTGCAGTATTTGATAATGGAACAATAGACTGTACAGAAGACGTAAACAAATTTATTTTTAAGTAGGATTTGCATCCCATATAACGTTATACTGCGTAAAGATGCTATAGTTTGATAACATTATGTTATTAGACTTATTTATGTCCATATTCTTCTGTGAATAGAGGTGAGTTTATTACTTCTGTAAGTTAACATTTAAACCACGCTTGTGGATTCTATATCTATGTCACAGATATACCGCCCCTCCCCTCACCCTGCTTCCTGCTATCAAATAAGCAATACCCTTAGTTTTACTTATTGTTGTTCTTGTCTTGTAGTTTTATGCAATTTTTCTTATGATGATATTGTTATACATGACTTTACATACCCTATGGGGGTAACATGTCCATATTCAGAGAGCCAAGATAATGTTTTCTCAGGTTCCATTCGCGATTAGAGTTTTTAAAAAGGCGCTCAAAAATATTCATTCAAAGCAAAATATATCAGAAAGCGGGGTTAAAGTTTTTCCAAGATCCCAGCCAATCAGTAAAGATAATACTGCATAATAATTTCATGGGCTTATTTGGACCAATCAAAATCACATAAAGTGATATTCTAACGTGTGGTAATATAATAAATATGAAACTGCACAGACAATAGGAAAACCATACCTGTTCTGTGATAAAATACTATTGCCACTACAACAACAACAACAACAACAACTACTACTACTACTACTACTACTACTACTACTACTACTAATAATAATAATAATAATAATAATAATAATAATAATAATAAACTACAATATGTTGTTATTTGCGGATTTACCTTTACCAGTCACTGTTTGTATGTACCTCATACATTCTTCAGTCCTAATAATTGAATTGAAAATTTATTTTGTATGAAAAACTGAAGGACAATTGGAATATCGTATTAACAGGGTAGATAGAAAGAATGTTTTAACTTGATTTTCTGTTCTTCATAATTGTAATGAAAGTATATTTAGCATTGGAAATTAAAACAAAACTCGTCAGAATTGTTAATTTGTATAGTTATTTGTTATATATTTAATTTTAGTGTTTCTCTCGTGCTTATGTGTCATTTGTCAACCAAAGATTTTTCTCTGTCTCATTCTCCATTAGTAATGCAAATATATCTCTTGCACTATTAAAGAGACATTCTTGAATTTTTTTGGGATATGACTGAGAGTAGCTTTTAGATATATCAAATAGTTATAAAATGTAAATTGTGACTTTTGGGATCGGTCTGGGGATAGTTATTTTTTGTTTGCTTCCAAAAACCTCTGACGAATTAACGTCTTGAAGGTAGAGATCTAACAGTTGGTTTGTGTCGTCTTCAGGGTCGGTGAATTAACATAGGCATTGGACTTTAGGCTGCAGTGTCCGGTCTTCTCCCATTGATGGTCCGTGTGGGTAATTTTCCCTGGATCACAACTTGGAAACTGTTGAGACCCTCACCCAAAAACACGTTTTTGGGTTTGAAGGACATTTAGATGGAATCACAAATACACACATTGGGTCATGCCTCTTAGTTAGAGGACTTGCTGTTG